TTTTTGATCTATGTTATAATGGTGTTTCATCATCAGAAACATACCTGGAGTTGTGTTTTGTTTCATTCACATGTTAAACACACAAACCCTGCATATTTAGGTTGAGTTCTCTCAAACAGAAAATGCTCTGTTTCACCTTGTGATGTCATGTGGCTAGAATCATTTGGGTGATTTCAGCCCTGGAATTGCCAGTCTCTACTGAACAAAACGTATGAAGAAGCTGTTAACTTGAAAGCTACCACTACATGACATTACAAGGTGCTTGAGCTTTGGAGATAGACAGACTAATAATAAAGGATTACTCAAACATGTGTGAATGAAACAAAACACAACTCCAGGTATGTTTTTGATGAGGTAACAACATTCTAACTTGACTTAAAGCTCACAAGAGTCAATTTTGTGTAATATAGGACCTGTAATAATTGGTGTTAAATATAAAGTTGAAATCAAGGTTCAGTTTAGAAATCAGTGTTTCCTTTCAATGTGATTCCTCTCTGAGCACTCACACTGTTATGCAAAGACACTTATAAGGTAATTTGGTGGTTCATACAAAATGTGATAAAGGAGATAATAACGTTGCTTTTCTCACGTATTCATCACAGACTGTTGTACAGCCTCACAGAACCTCTTGTAGTCGCCTGCTACTGGACAGGACAACACAGGCCCCGCAAATACAATAAAACACTGTGAAGGCCGTCTCTATTTTGCTTGTCGGCGGGGGGTCAATAACTCGTTAGGGCAAAGGGAACAGCGGCAACAGCAGCAGGGGGAGGTGACCGGGGGCTGTTCACCTGAGGATATCAGCATGTCATTGCACCCAGAGGTCACGAGAAGGATTCACGACTTCATTAACACAGTGTCATAAAACATCCCCAGTGTTTCAAGGCCTCAAATAGGCTTGGATGTGTAATTTGCCTGTTTTTATTCGCCCCAAGCTATTTTAATTTGAACATTTTACTGCCATTGTATTTATCACCTTTTTATCATTTGTTGTGAACTTTGCATCTCATTGAAACAGTCTATAAAATTGAGTTTAATGAGATGTTGAGCCAGTCTGCCATATATGTGTAAAATATAATGCTTCATGTCTTTTCTATGTGTGACAGACATATTGTTGGTGTTTCAAGATCACAGTGACAGTGGCTTACGTCTGACTGTGTTCTGTTGTGTATGTTTATGCATTGTGTCTTATGTATCAAATCAAATGGTGACAATTCAGTTTATTTTTAGAGAACAAAATCAAAGCAGCATTCGCCTCACAGGGCTTCACAAAGTTGTTGATTTAATGGAAGGTAAGGAAATCAACAATGAAATGGTCCCAAACAGTCAATAAAAGACAACATTCACAGGGTACAAGCAAATAACTGTCCTTAGACCCTGCTTCTCGTCAAGGAAAAACCCCCCAAAAAAAACAGGATTGAACCAAGATTTAATCAGGAATGAATCAGGACACAAACAGGATTAAACTGGGACTGAACCAGAACTGAACCAGGACTGAACCAGGACTAAGCTGGGACACAACCAGGACTAAACCAAAACTGAACCAGGAATAAACCAGGAATGAACCAATGGACAGACTGTAGATGTGTCCAGGACTGACGCACATCCATTCAAGATAGGAAAAAAAAGCCTGTGTTCATTTTCGAGTTGCACCAATAAATGAAACGGTTGTAGGTTTACGGTGAAACATAATTAGAATCCTGTGTAATATTACCCTATAAAACCACATATAATCTCTCTTTTGCCTATAAATTAGCCAAACACAGACACTTAAAGTACAAACAAGGTGATTGGCTCTTCTTTGTGAGGATGTTCTTGAAACATACACAGAGTACCCACACATAGCACTAGTCCCTAGAAGTCTATAAAAAGCCCTGGTAAAACTCTGAAGCCAACATTTGTACTGGAGATGATTCATTCTTGTTATTTCTGGCTCAAACTTCCTTAAGCACATCAATAGTTTTAAATATTTTTAAACATAGTTCGGTGATGACCCGTATCAAATAGCGGAAGCCCTCTTTCACTTCGTCTTTAACAAGGCCTGGCACGTGTCCAGTGAAGGGGACTCATCTGTTTAATCATCTCAATCACTCGGCGAGACCTGTCTAAAAATAGCCCCATACAAGCCCCATGTGGGCAGTGGTATTGTACTACACAGACTGGACAGACTGTTGCTGCCAGAGGATCATAAAAGATACTTAAGCCTACGTAGTGTCTAAATATTATCAAGCTCTCGGCATGTTTGTTTTGGTGGACTGTGTTTGCGTTTTAAGCACACTTAAAAGTCTTGTTTACAAAATGTATCCTGTTACACAACCATAATCCAAAAGGGCTCTGCACCACTTCATTGTACAAATTCAAGATGACAGGAGCATTATCAGGCAAAACAGCAGAGATTTGTGTTACTATTGTTAAACAATGCCACAAATGATGGGTTCAAATCCTTTTAATTTTTCTGCAAAGTTTAGAGCAAGTCTTCACCTTGCTGAGGACACTCGCTAATTACAACATCCAAAGAGTAAATCCATAAACACACAAATGATGTAATGCAATAGTGCGCAGCCCTCTGTGTCAACACCAATCATCAGGCTCGACCTTGGAGGACATTTTCAGTCTGTAAGTATGTCAGCACCTTAGATGATTTCAGCCCTTTTATCCACGTCAATGTCATGCTATTACCTTGTCCCATTTTATGCTTACTATGGAGTATGGTTTAAAATGCATGCAATAGTTTCTTTTCTTTCCCTAAAGTATGATCAATTACAAACGATGTGAAAAGTGCTCTGTGCAATACCAAATGAAAGCAGCATGATGTTAAAACTTTGAAATAGACAGATGGTCTTGATTCAGCCTGAAAATGGATTATACATTTAAAATATGTTATAAACAAAAAAGTCCAGATGTTTTTCTAAAAAAGTCATAAAATTACAATAACTTCACTTTACATTTAGAGTTGTTTGTAAATGTAGATACTGAATACAAAACAATTTGGGCAGCCTTTTTAAATTAAAACGCTCAGGCCAGTGTGTTCTGACAGCCTCACTGTGAGTCTGGCATCCCACTCTTGTGGGATGCTTGTGTTTGGTGCCATTTGGCAACCGCTGGAATATTTAAATGCCCTGATGAATACATAGCCCCTGGGCCTGACTGCTCAAAGCGAACACTGAGTGTGCTCTGACATGCGCAGCATACACTAATGGGACTTCTGACAGTCCCGTGCATTCATCCTGCTAAAGCCTGGCCCAGAGCCAACAGAGGCGCGCGGCTCTGGAGTTCCAGCTCTAGAGCGCTGGCTGAAGACGGAGAAAGCACGGGGCCACAGGTCTGACTGGTGCAACATCTGAGTGTCCATCAGGCGCCACTTATCCCGTCACACTGCCCTTGAACAAGACACCGGGTCAGTCCTCCACACTTGTTGCAAATTACAGTACTTTGGATGAGTGCAACAGCTGCAGTAAATTTTCTAAAAGAATAGAATCTCCACCTCATTTCTACTGGGGCCGGGTTAATGGTCAGAGACACCATCCTTTTTGTGGAAGCTCAGCAGCTGTGTGTACTTGGCCAACCCTGTGCATGTGTGTCTGTGTGGCCTGGGAAGAAATAGTGACTGGTGTGAAGCAGTTGTAACCTGTGCACATACAGAAGAGACTCTAGCGAAAGAGCAGAGCTGTCCATGGTGCTGAAATCTTAAAAAACATTGAAATTAAACTGAAATGCGCTTGCTTTTGGTGTCATTGTTTCTGAATGTCCTTATGGCTAAAAATCAAAGGCATCAATGGTCAATGCATATGACTAAAACTGGACGCAACTGTCTCCAGCCTCTCCAAAAGGCGCAAATGCTGTGGTATCAGAAACACAAGAGACATTTCATTGATTATGGTTATTTTGGAAAATGTCAGTAGTGCGGAGTGGTCCAATGATGTTGACCTTTTAAGCGGCGTAACTCTGTCGAACAGCAACACAGAATGATGGAATCCAAGGAACAATATTGATTGTAATTTGCTGCATATCAGAAATCTGTATGGGCACTTCTTTTAAGAAATATGAGAGGGATTCATGAGTTATAATTCTCTTTATTCTTATTTTTATAAAAAACAGAAACTTCGGTGGACTTTCTTAAGACCACATAAAACAAAAATAAAAGCCCTAAATATGACTTTATCTTTTAACAGACTGGACTAACTTTTGTCTGAAACGTGGGCGCTCACTTGAAGTCTGGACATGCTGCCTTGTTGGACCACCGTTACGCATTGATTAGTTCCTCTCTTGGAGCACGTAGCAGAGGAATTTGTGGGTGCAGAAAGGACAGGACCACTCCTCTATCTATCTCCCTGCCTCTTTCTCGCTCTCCGCATGCGATTTTCTCTCTTTCCCCAGTCGGCGCTGAGGAGGGGGAGGGTGGTCTTGCAGTCGACGAGCGGAATATAGGAGTTTACTGAGGAGTAGCTGCAACGGGAGGGAAAACGTTTGAGCGCTGCTGCCTTGCGGTCTCGGAGCTGACAGAGGGGACTACGCGTGAGCAGAGGACCGCGCTCGGACAAATGACCGCTCCAGTCTGGGAAACTGCCGCCCGAATTGTTTAACTTGTTGATGCGTCGTTATTACACTGTTTTCTCATTAGTTCGGCTGCAGTGGCACATACATGGGTGTCGGGGTTGCAACAGCTTTCCGTGGATAGGTACTCTTTCTACGGACGCACTTTAAAGAGCGGTATATTTGAGGTAGGTAATTTTGTTTTACTATTTACGTTGTAATTGAATGAGCAGCCTGTGCTGTGCGTGTGGGGCTGACGAAATCCAATTGATATTCTGCCGCAAAGTGAGCTTCCACAGTTATACAGTGAATGAGGCTGAGTGATACTCAACAATGCAATGCGCAGTGATAGAAGTAAGCGTGTGTTTTCTTATCAGTGTCTCTGCTGTCCTCCTGCAGATGCAATTCATCTGTGAGCCGTAGCACTGTGGAAATCGGAGGGGTCGTATTAAACACTACAGGTCAGTATGGCAGCAGGTGTAGCGGCATGGCTCCCATTCGCCCGAGCGGCAGCCATAGGATGGATGCCTGTGGCAAGCACCCCGATGCCGATACCTCCCCAAGACCGAAAAAAGACCCAGGATGGACTGGTGGTGCTCAACGTGAGCGGGACTAAGTTTCAGACCTGGCGAACCACTTTGGAGAGGTATCCGGACACTTTGCTGGGTAGTACAGAAAGAGACTTCTTTTTCCACGAGGAGACAAATGAGTACTTTTTTGACCGTGACCCTGATATTTTTAGACATGTTCTAAATTTCTATCGCACGGGAAAGCTCCACTACCCACGCCAAGAATGCATCTCTGCCTACGACGAGGAACTCGCCTTCTTCGGCATCATTCCTGAGATTATTGGAGATTGCTATGAGGAGTACAAAGACAGGAGGCGCGAAAACGCGGAGAGGCTGCAGGACGACGAGGAAATGGACGCGAGCAATGACGTCACGCCGGTGAACCTGACGTACCGGGAGTATCTGTGGCGGGCTTTTGAAAACCCTCACACCAGCACCTTAGCTCTGGTCTTCTACTATGTCACTGGCTTCTTCATCGCCATCTCTGTGATGGCCAACGTGGTGGAGACGGTACCGTGCGGGACTTTGCCCAACAGGTCCAAAGAGATCTCCTGTGGGGATCGTTACGCACTGGCCTTCTTTTGTTTGGACACGGCGTGCGTCATGATATTCACGGTCGAGTATCTTCTCCGACTAATTGCAGCCCCTAGCCGCTTCAAGTTTGTTAAAAGTGTGATGAGCGTCATTGATGTGGTGGCCATCATGCCTTACTATATCGGACTGGTCATGACTGACAATGACCAGGTGAGCGGGGCTTTTGTTACGCTAAGAGTCTTCAGAGTCTTTCGGATTTTCAAATTCTCCCGGCATTCCGCGGGACTCCGGATCCTGGGCTACACTTTAAAGAGCTGCGCCTCCGAGCTGGGCTTCCTACTATTCTCCCTCACTATGGCCATCATTATCTTTGCCACAGTCATGTTTTATGCAGAGAAAGGCTCCACAGCCAGCAAGTTCACCAGTATCCCCGCTGCGTTTTGGTACACCATCGTCACCATGACAACACTGGGGTAGGTGACAGCGCTTTCTCTCACGCGCCATACAACTGTCCTATCAGGGTCTGTGGGGGGCTTCACGAGTGTCACAGGCGCTATTATAATAAGGCTCTTTTCCCAGATATGAATATAGCCTATTTTCATCAGGCAATGCTTAATGTTACTGTTATTGGAGTGTGGGCTTCTCCCTCTTTTGCACAGGCCATAGATCATATGTTATTTCAAACGTATGGTAGCCTATTATATTATATCCCAGGGTCATTATCAAATGTCTAATGAATTGTTGCTGCTCAGGCTACAGGTGCGCTTCAGTGGTCTGTGTTGGGTCTCCAGCTGGTAAGGGGGGCTTAGAGCTGTTTATCAATGAGTTTGCACCTGAACCCAAGAGAAAGCGTTCTTATCCCTTTAAAGCCTTTAATGTAAGCTTGAGTTAGAGACACTTGCTGTTCTGCTTTTTTCCCCCTACTTATTTTAAGAAGAGTAAATATTGAATTTTGAAGAACAATCCATAGTATGTGCTGGTGTAGCATAAATTAATTAAACTCAGACAATTACATCAAATTAATAAACGCAAACACTTATTATTATTTCCCACCTTGCTTCCCAATGTTGTCTCAATGAGCCAAGTGGCTGTAATTTGGCTTGGATGTGTTGCAAATAGCTTTATAATAAAGTGGATACAGCAGTGAGCTGCCTGAGGCAGTCCGTCTCACACTCAGAGAGAAATAATAATCAAGTCGTAGCTAATTTGTGTGTAAAAATATCCCAGCTGCCGTGTAAACACAGGCACTCAGGCAAAGCCTACAGTCCTCATCACCTCCCAATCAACCATGACACACAAATGAAGTCCTGTTGAAACCATGTTGGCCTGTCTTTGCAAAGTCAAAGCATCAGAGATTAAATACGCTAAATAAATAGCCAGAGGCACATGTGAGCATGTATATTATTCAGTGCATTTGAGCACGCCCCATTTTAAACTGCTTTAATGATGTGTTCTTTTGTATTTGATTGCTTTGATGCTGCAGTGCTTACATTTGAAATGTTATTTGTTATATTTTAAGACTTGGGTATACTGTACTCTATGTTATCCCTATCTGCTGTTATCAGGCTGCTGCAGTGATAGAGAAGCTGCCTGAAGCTTCCCCTGCATTCATTCAATCTCAGTGGAAGTACCTCTCTGCCTCAGATGACCAATGAGAGCATAATTAGTGATATGCAGCAGCCAGTGATTGAGGCTGCCATCACCAGTGCAGCATCACTCCAGCTCCTATCAGAATGAGGGCAGATTAAACACAAATTGTGCAGGCAATTTTATTATTTATATTTGGACAGCTACAAAGATATTGCTGCATTCAAAGCCTGAATACCTTTTGTGTTGGGTTCTAAAGAATGTTATGCGAAGTGAACAAAACTCCTATGCCCTTGATAATGGGAACAGTTGTGTCCCTCCTTTGTGAAGTGTGACAGCAGTGTGACAGATGTGCACCTGTACAGAGCCTTGCAGTGGTGCAGACTGCACCAAAGGACCACCATGGAGAGGCTGAGAGACAAAGTGCACTGCTCCTCAGGATCCATCAGTGTGAGGATGGGATTTTCAGAAATCATCTCTGAAATAATGGGCCGGTAAAGGTGAAGGATGGTTGTCATTGTATGCTGACAACACTGTAAGGAAACGGCCTGTTATATTCTCCTCCAGTAACCTGCAGATTCTTATCTGCTCTCGGGAATGAGCTCTTCTGACGGTTTGTTTCTGAGCGCAGCGTGAAGAAACATTTAAAGCCATCCAACAAATAGTTATTGGAGTCAGAAATGAATGGGCTTTGTGCCTCCATTTGGAGCCTCTGAAAGCATCTGATTTCATTCGGGTAGTCATTGATGGTTTATGTCGGCGTGGAATCATGATGCCTTTCCACTACATATATTTTCAATTTCCCTGACTCACGCGCTGTGGAAGTAAAGACAGTGGCGAGCGCTCGCTCCCCTGCTGATGGCCCATTGATTGTGCTTAAGCAGACGTGCAGACATTGGGAGAGCAGGGCTCCTGTTCAGAGGCACTTGGCAGTCAGCCTGAATGAGAGCGGAGGAGCCTGGAGACCAGTAGAGAATCAATAGCAGTGTGCAGCTGCGTGTCACGCCTCTGTGTCTGCTGCTGCTGCCTCCTCACCAGGACAAGACCCTCTTATGCTCCATATTCATGCAGCCTAATCTCTGTGTGCAGGAGCATCCTCTGTCAAACACACATCTTCAGATATGCTGTAAATGTGAGATCTCTATCTTCTCCACCACCGCTTTACTCTATCTCTGAATACTGCGCTAAGCTTCCAGAGCATCATTTGAGCCTGATTTAATGCAATCCATTTAAGGTGGCAGATTCCAATAGGAAGATAACAACACACTTTATTAAGCTGCAATCCTGCTGTATTTGCCTCTCCTCTTCTCACAGATGATCCACAGTCAGGGAGAATTAGCTGCACAGGGACTTTTGGTGCTTGAGATCTTTTAAGTGATTTAAGGTGTAATGGAGTGCACTGCTGAGGCAGCTGTGAAAACGCTGGAAGTCAAGCGCAACACACAAGGGAAGTGTGAGCGGACAGGCTCTCCCCGTGCCACAGTCATCTGGACACTAGCCTTACCTTTAAGAGGAACGCCTTATTCTCAGTGGACCACTACTAACACTAAAAATCACACTGCATAAGAATGAGCAATGATAACAATCTAATACATTTAGTGGCCAGATTTATTGGGCATTTTCAACCTGCACTGCTTTTGTTAAAATGTCTAGCAGTGCATAGCCGTACACTGTAATAGTGAACAGCAGGTCTCATTTAAATATCAATTCATTTGCTTTGTTTTCAATATGAACTGATGATTTGTGGTCTGTAGGTGATTTGTTCTTTAGGCCCACAAACACAGCTGTACATTGCGGTCATACAACAAATGTATAATTGATTGCTCTTCCATTTTTCCGTGGCACTGCTCCACCCACAAAATACCAGCGACAAGTGAGACCTATAAAGCTTTCAAGGCTGGATTTATACGACAGAGGAGGCAAGGTTAACAGACACGAGGGTCACCATGGAGCTCGTAAACAGTACAAGTATAACCATTATCTCCTGCAACTTGGGATGCTGCTGAGACTCAGAAAAGTTTGAACTCAAATCACTGTTCAGTTTAGTTAGTGGTGCAGCGCCGAGCATTTGTTGCACTTCTACCACTGGTCCGTTTGCTACTGATTTATATTTGTATTAGATAAATGGATTGCCTTTGTTATAGACAGATTATTTGTTTATCAGCACAGCGGATGCACACGCAAAGTGCTGAAAGTGCTGCTGTTAACATGAAGTTGTACTGTTAGCTGGCGATGTTGTCAGCGCACTGAAATAGTTTATCGCCGTGTGATAAAATAAGTTATGATGCTTAACTAACATTAGTGAGTGGGATAAGTCTTAATGCAATGATGAGACAAAATGACTCAAACTTGAAAAGCATTTCAGGATTAGACAACAACAAATTGAGAATCACTGTTTTGATTTGATCATGATTCATGTACCCTTTTTATATAGTCTTAAAGAGGGCTATCTAATTCTTTGGAGAGTACACACTTCACTTTGATTTTGTGGTCTATATTTGAGCACAGACTTGCATTAGACAAAAGAGCACTGAATAACAATATGAATTTATCACTAAAAGAGCAACACAGGCAACAGATTGTAGATTTGTCCAACTCCTAACAAATCTATGGCCAATGATCACACTTGTTATAAGTACTAACCAAGAACTTAGTCAGATTGAAAAACCTCTAAAGTAAATGTAACTGTCAACCAGGACTTATCTTGGATCAGTTTAAAGAATAAATAAAGCTGAAATTTTTTAGGACTACTAAATCTAGCATTTGTTCACACTTCAAATGATTGCCGCTGTCATAACTCCAAAAGTGTTCCTAAACCAAGCTAAAAAACTCAAGGCCTACTCCAAAAACACACAGTACAGTCTGAAAGCCACTAATATAATCATCTTCAATGGTTGGATGAGTTACCAATCCCCTGGCCGTCGCCACACAGAAATCTCACTCCTTTTTCTCAACAGTCAGTGCGAACATTTGGCCTGTTTGATTATGTACCGCAATGGCTGTAATTTCTGCTGTTGACGAGAATACATTAGAGCTCTTGGCATTGTGTATGTAACGCACATTATGCAAAACCAAGCGGCCCATTAGACTGCGCCGTGATACATCAGCGTGTAGAACAACAACCAGAGGTGGCTGATGGGACATGTGTGCAGGTCGCCATTAGCCTGGGGGGAGGCTATAGGCACGCCCCCCCTCCAGCTGCTTTATTTTGGACAAGAGGTGATTCTAATATGAGGCTGCTATAATGGGACTGAAGTGACAGGTGACTTAATGAACAGGACCTGGCAATGCAATGTGTTTCATGAGCGTCATCTCGTCCATGCAAATGAGCCTGGGAATGGTGGAAGAGAGAGGTTTGGGAACAGAGCATGCTGTGAAGATTAAGAGTAGGCATGGGTGATATTTCTTCTAATATTGTAATCAATGAGATCTAAAGGGCTTCCCTGATAACAGTATAAAATTTGCTGATATTTGGCACCGGTGTTTTTTCTAATCTGCCCCAGTCTCTGTGTGACCACACTATGTCATTCCCTGTTTGTCTCTGTTATTTTTTTATTTTATAGTCCAGATAAATGCTTTTTTTTTTTTTTTTTTGTAGGGCCTATATTACAATATTTTCTGATCTTTGTTATAATGTTGTTAGCATATCACAATTTGACATCACAAGGTGGAACAGAGCATTTTGAGTTTTGGAGATGTAGACAAACTAACAATAAATGATTGTTAGTTTGTAATATAGAACCTTTAATTACAAAAGTAAAACATTAACATGTGAACTTTACTATAACTGAAATCTCCCCCAAAGAGTATATTGTGAAAGCATCACTATGGGACAAAACTCAACCACTGCATACTGTCTGCAGCTTTATTTCTCTCTCTCTCTTGT